ATTCAGAAAGATGATCAACAGTACGGCTTAAAGATATTTTGCCAAGCATCAGGGGGAGCGTGCTGTCACTAAAGACCTTCACACATTGTACTCTTTTTCCTTCGTCCAGGTTTTTATCCCACTGGGTTTTTCCTGGCAAGGTTTTAACGAGGCAGTGTTGCATGCACATCAATATACACAGAATTTTATGTTACACATGGTTATGTACTCTTTTTCCCTTCGACCAGTTTTTGTCCCACTGGGTTTTACTGGCAAGGTTTTAACGAGGCATATTCCATAGTGGTCTCCAAGGGGGAGTGTTGTAAAGTCTTGAGTGGAGCCCACATGATTAGAAGGGAATCTCACACACCTTCACGAGTTTTCTATTTACCGAATAGTTAGCCAAAGTTTTGTTTATAAAAACTATGGCTTCATTCTCATTCTGTAAGTAGATAGATAGAGAATATAGAAAGAAAAAAAAGAAATAATGAAAATATCAGAAGAGCATTCCTATCGCTATTTGAACTCTCTAAATTCTCTCCTCAATTTCTTTAGTTTTATAACATAATCCCCTTTTTTTTGTTAGCATATGAAGAATCCTATGACTTATGAGTTGTCATCATGTGAGTTGTCGTCATGTGAAACACCAAGACCAAACATAAGTCCTTACACTTGACCAAACCTTTCTAACAAGGTGTCACGCTCACTAGTTTTTTGGTAACTAGATGGGTCCTCAAGGCTTCACAAGAGCGCAGAACACAATCATCAAACCAGAAAAATAAAAACAGAAATAAGAATTACAGTGCTACATGTGCTCTTCAGGATAATACCTTGCTTTGTATTATTTGAATCACCAAACCAGAAAACTGAACAGCTCTCTTTCCTCAAACAAAATAGCAAATCAGAAAAAAGAAGAAAACCATGTTCTTTGAGAGAGAGAGAGAGAGAGAGGAACAGCTGTTTTGGAGGGGGTAGATGTATGCACTGTTTTTCTTGAAATAGAACATCAAACCAGAAAAAAGAAGAAAACTATGTTCTCAGAGAGAGAGAGAGAGAGACTGAGACAGACAGACAGAGACATAGAGAGAGAGAGAGAACTTTTTTGGAGGGAGATATTGTGGTCTTCAAGAGCACAATACATCTGTTTTTGAGGGAGGAGGCATCGTTCCAGTGGAACAGTTTTAGACACTTTCAGTTACAATTGCTTCTTAGCAACCGTTGGATTTGATCCAATGGTGTTCCCATATAGAGGTTTGCGAAAAGAAGTTCCCACCAGAGAATAGCCCATTAGCAAAATACGGTGATTGTTCGGCATATTTCGGATATGAAAATCACATTCCAAAGTTCTCCACTACATTTTTTGTTTGACTTGTATTCCAACCTCAGTCCGAAAATTTGGAATTCAAAATTCAGATTCAAATTATGTTAAAACCAGAAAGATTTTGAATCGGTTCAATCACAATCCTGAATTTTCAATTCAATATTTGTTGTTTTTTTTATTTTGGTCAAGATTCAATATTTGTTGTTGACAATAAAAAATTCTCATGTCTCATCGAACAAACAATTGTTTTCCTAATGAACAGAGAAACGAACAAGTTATGCTTTATGGTTCTTCGCTGAAATTATAAACATATAGGCTTAGCCCACTGGATAAATTTGAATCATTATAATTGGCGTGTGATATAAACTTCAAAAATGTCACCCCCAAAAGAAAAGTTCTAAACTTGTCTAGCACAAAACACAATCCTCAACATTTTCTTGAAATTCAGTCCCCCTAAAAACAAATCATCTTGAAGAAACTAGCCAAGGAAAATAAATATTATCTGGGATTCTCTACCAGTTTTCTTTCATACCTGCTACATAAGACTTTTGATCTTGACCATTCAAAATGATCTAAAGGTTACGATGCTGCAACATAATTAATTAACAAATTTTCATTCTCCCTATGACTTCCCACCCCACCGTTTTGCCTTCCATTTGATTCACCCTCCCTCGCCGTGCCATGCCAAGCTTCACAAGATGATAATGGCTGACAATAACCTTACAAAATTATATACATGAAGTGAGATAAAATGCAGTCTCTGAGAATCATTCCTCCATACTTGCACCAGGTTTCAATTTCATACCCCGACTCTCTCTCGGAATCTCTAGATGCTGAGGGAGGGGCATATGAAACCGGTTACAGGTAAATTTAGACGTCTGATAAAGGGTTTTCCCAGAAGTAGACAAGAATTACTTTCTGTTAGACATCACATTTAACACAGAACGCAAACACTGCATTTTACATTATCTGAAAACGAGCATTTGGCAAACGGAATAAGCAACTTATTCAATGTCCACGTAAAGACTCAGATAAAGCCTGCTATCCATCATCCAAGACTGCAAAACCTAAGGCCAGGGTTCTGAATTGTGATAGTCAAATGCATTTCCAATTTCTTCTAGGGCAAAGATCAAATGAAATGCCTAACCTTAAGCTACTCCAACTAGCCTAACCATGGTATCAGGGCAAAAATTGAACTTTAGGGCACAAGCTCCATGACCAAGAGAAACATTTTCCAGGTTTGGTTCTATGAAATTACTTGAATTGTTATTCCATAACAATGAACAGCAAGGTAAGCTCAATAAGGCATCTGGGTTCATTGAAAAATATCATGTTATCAGTTTCTCAGATAATATTTTGAATTTGAACACCAAATGAAGTAAAAGGCAATGGGCACTAAAAACCCTTTCAAGTCAATAAGAACAATGACTAAGAATCAAACACCACAAATAGATAGAACCCAAAAAAGATTAAATCATTCCTGAAAATAGCTTGAAAATATAACTAAGCATAAATATCCAAACCAAGGTTTTACCAAACACTTCAAAAATCCATAACAAAACTCAAAACTAGAAATTAAGCCAAAACAATGATAAGATCATTGGAAATGACAGTAAATAAAATAAATGGAAAAAAGGTGAGATGAGTATCTCTCAACGGTAAGACTTCTGGAACCTAGCTCTGGCACCGCGACCACCGAACTTCTTGGGCTCGCAGCGCCTGGGATCAGCGACGAGGAGAGTTCTGTCGTACCTGACCAAGATGTCCTTGATCTCCTTCTTGCTCTGCTCGTCCACATACTTCTGGTAAAACGCCACAAGGGCCTTGGCGATGCTCTGGCGGATTGCGTAGATCTGAGACGTGTGGCCTCCACCTTTGACGCGGATCCTCATGTCGACGCCGGCGAAACGGTGTCGTCCGAGCAGAAGGATCGGCTCGTAGGCCTTGAACCGGAGGATCTCCGGCTCCACCAGCTCGATCGGACAGCCGTTGATCTTGATCAGGCCGCGCCCCCTCTTGCAGTAGGTCACTGCCACCGCAGTCTTCTTTCGGCCAAAGCACTGAACGGACTCTATAGCTGGGGTCGCCATGGTTGCTGCTCTGGGTTTTGGGTCTCCTTCTTTAGGGCTTTTGGTGGCTCTGTGTGTGCAAGTGATTGTGAGCTCGAAGAGGCGCGAGAGAGAGAGTGGGAAATAATATATGAGAGAGGGATTTAGGGTTTTTGATCGTGTGGACGGCTCTGATTACTTTGTGACACAACAGTGAGATGGTCACCCAGAGGAAAATGTATCGTCCGTGCAACTCGATTATTTGCTAACACCTGTGGTGTTCTTAGCCATTCGGCCCTTTTCTGTCTGCGAAATTGGCTAAAATAGCCCATTTGTAAATAGTCTTGGCCATTAGGCCCTTTTCTGTTTGCGAAATTGTGATATGTTTGGTACATCGTAATAGACTCTGTATAGAAGTAAATAATTTATGTTAGGTGTTTGGTGTCAACTTGTATTATTTAATATCTACTATTTTAAATGAATTGGGCTTTTAATACTCTCATTTACCTAACTAACTAATACAACCCACACACCCTAATTTGGATAATACCCACTTCATTATAGAGCTAGGGAAAAAGAACACACACATTCACGTGAAAAATCAATTTTCATCTTCTTCTTCCTAGGGTTCTTATATGCTATCTTATCCACATATTATTTTCTTCACTTTTTTCCAGGTATCCTCTCTCTCTCTCTCTCTCTCTCTCTCTCTCTCTCCAATATGCTTCTTCTCTCTTCTTCTGTCTTTAATTTTCTTTCTTTATATATTTCATCTTTTATTAAATTTTTGTGAAAATTAGGTTATGAGTTTTTCCTTTTTGACTTTTTTTGAATCGAATGTTTAATTGTTTGTTTGTGATATAGTAATTTGATACATTAGGATTATAACAATACAGGAGGATACATTTAGCGAACAATAGCTGAGGATGCATTCTATATGGCACTCACAGTAGTGTGGGACACAACATTAAAGAATTGATATCGTGCAGGAGGATACATTTAGAGAACAATACCTTAGAGTTTTTCCTGGGAAGGTTATAATGAGGCCAATTTAGACATGCATGTGCAGTGTAATTCCTTCACTCTATCTAAATACAATTCGATCGCTTTCTATTATAAAAATAATAATAATAATAGAATCGTTTTAGTTGTGGAACGTTTCAGCCTCTCTGCTGAAGTTCCTGAATATTCTAAACAGAACACATTATGTCAAGTCCGCTGTCCTTTTACTGAAGTTTTAATTTCATTTCGATGCGTGGAAAAGGCTGCATGATTCTAGAAGAACAAAAAATTGGATGCAAAGCTACTGAAAGCCAATAACTGACTTGTATTTCTTTTTTTCTTTTTTTTGAAATAAGGGAAACTCCCAGAAAACAACTAACTCCCGCACATTAGTCGAGGCCTAACAAGACCAAGTAAGTCATCCATCAACAGATAACTAACTCAGACAGGAGCCTCATCAAAGAAGCAAATTCCCAAATCCAGATTATAACTCCAAAACTTGTATTTCAATAACCTACCCAACCCACTTAAAAAGTTGTCCAGTTATGTTGAATATATTTGTATGTTCCCTTCTATTTATATTAGTTTTATTAATTTTTTCACCTCAGCCGACATTAGCACTTCTCAATTCTTCAAGATATATTTGCATAGGGGCTGGGCTGATGTTTACTTGGGCTGTGGGCTGGTGGTGATGTTTTAACAAGGACTAGTGCTTTCATATCTGGAGTGAGAATGAGACTGAGAATGTTAAGAAAATGATCAAACGCTTGGCTTCTTTTCTTGTCTAGTTTTGTTATCATGCTAGTTTGCTCATGTGTTGACTGTTGAGCTCTACTTTTGGGATTTTCCCTCTTGTCATTTTCTTTTTTGATAGTGTAAAAACCAGAATAAATATGAGAAAATAAAGTTAAGAGCACTGATACACTAATCAAATTTACTCATCACATTTTTGTTCACCAGTTTTTGCTTTGGATAACTCACAATACCATAAATGCACAAAAACAACTACAGAATATGTCAGACAAGGTTCGAGCAACGAAAACACATACATGAAAGGGAAATCCATCAGTTAGGAATTCCCTGATGGATTTATAAAGGGTTTAGAGTCTAGGGTAAATATTCAGTGCGGAACCTCGTGGGACTGCAGTGTCCGAGCTTACAAGAAAAGAAGCCAAGCGTTTGAGCAATTTCTTAACATTCTCTGTCTCAGTCTCACTCCTGAGATGATAGCAATGTTCCTCTTCTTTCACTTCAAACAGCTCCACTTCTCCTTTCCACCCACTTTCCCTCACCAAATTAAAATACCAAACCCCTCGATCCCTCAGCTGATCCTTGCCAGCTACACACACAAGCAGCTTAGAACACCCAAGTCCAGCCAGGCTTGGTGCACCCTCACCCACTGGATTGACCATTGGATTATCATGCCCTCCAGGAGCTGATGGATAAACAAAGTCCCAAGCTTTATACTCCAGAGTCTTCTCAAAATCTTCACCTTTAGGCTCTGACCCAATTGGCTTGGACCCCCAAAAATAAGAGTGAGAGAGAAATACACCCAAAATTCTCACACCACCATACAAGCTCTCCAATCCTGCCTTTATAGCCAAATTATGTGCAATATTGCCACCTGCACTATCACCCCCAATGTACAATCTGTCAAAATCTCCATATTTGGCTAGCCATGGGTCTTTTTTGCCATCTAATTCTTGCTTGTTTGAGTGAGAAGCAACCCACTGAAGAGCAGCCCAGGAATCTTCATAAGCAACAGGAAGTGGGTTCTCTGGGGCAAGCCTGTACTCAACAGAGACAGCTACAACTTGGGCTTCTGAGACCAACCGGTTGAGATAACGATGGGCTTGGAGTGAGAAGGCAGATTCAATGCAAAATACTCCACCATGGAAGTAAACAAGGATGGGGAGCTTTTGGATTTGGTTTTGAGGGAGATTTGGGAGGTAAAGGCGAGCTGAGATGTTAGGGTTGTGTGAGATTGTGATGTCTTTGGAGGAGACACCAGTTTCTGGGTCCTTATCAGGAGATGGGGGCACATGTGGAGACCCTCTAAGGCGTTCAACTTTTCCATCTTTGTATATTCTGATGAAAGGAACGCCGGCCTTGAAGGCTAATTCTTTGGTGGTGGAAGCCATTAGAGAAGATATGCAGATAACTAAGAATTGTGAAACTTGAGAGGGCGAGAATGTGCCTTTAAATTCATTAGAAAACAGAGAAAGAGAGGAGACGTGTTTGACAATCATGCAGTAACAGCAGCCAAGGTAGGCAACATGTGCCTGTATTTATTTGCAGTCAAACAACGTAACCTCAAGGCTGTTTTGAATTTTATTTGCGAAGATGTTTTCCACAATCCAAATTTCCAAAAGATCTATAGTACATTGAACAAATATGTGAGTGAAATATGAATAATGGTTTTTTTTTTTAAGTGGACTTTGGTGTCAAAAATATTTAATCAAGCATTTTCAAACTTGGATTGCAGAGCAAATTCATCCACACCTATTGAAATTGTTGCCACTCTTACTTTCACAAGCTAAAAATAGAGTGATTTGATTTGTGAAGCAAACTAATCAAATTAGAAAACAAACAACTAAGGGAAGAAAGAGTCAACACAGAAATGCGCGGGATGCCACTTGAAGAAAATTTCTTTTGCATTGGAAAGTAACTAAGAGAGCTTTTCCAGCAGTATGATATCTCTTTTCCAGTACATTGATTAGGTGCATTATTTTGAATATATTCAAAATACTGCACCTGGATAATTAGAAGGGCTAAAACAAAAATCCAGCCTACCTAACACCCAACTTCATTGAAAAAACACCTTATTTACAGATGTGAATCTGATTTTTTATAACTAATAAGATGTATTTAACCAAAGCATGTGTTGGAAACTATAAAGTTTTGGGTGGCTATATATTTGCTGATCATGCACCGAGTAATTTCACCCATTCTCGGTGCTTGAAATTCTACAGGTGACTGCCTCCCATAATTGACCTATCTATATTCTAAGTCCTAGTGGCGAACTTATATATTTCTCTCTCTTGAAGTATATGAACGTATATACGTATTAATGCTTCTGTGTAAAAACGTTAGGGCTATTCTAACTTAAATAGGCCTCTTGTACCTTTCAAAAAGAGTGCTACTATTTCCACCCCCTTAGTCCTATTTTCCTACCCACCATGTAAATTTGAAAAAATACAATCTTATCTTTCCACCCACCATTATTCCTAAAATACCCTATAATTATTAATTATTAATTCCAACAAATTCCCAAACGAACAACTTGATTTGTACTTTACCATCAAAAACACCAAATGCAACCATCTGGCCATCAACGTCATATATTTGCCTCAATATAATCCTCCATTGAAGGCCTTTTACCCTTGAAACTTGAAATCCTTAGTTGAACCTTGCATTACGGCTCCCAATAAGAAAGCTAACAGAAAAAGAGAAAACAAAAACAATTAGGTTGTCCACAATTTAAAACAAGTCAAGGATACAACATGAACTTGGTTGGTTTACCTGTCCATTAAATCTGGACCAGTAATTCCATTTGGGAATCCTGGAAAGTTTTCAACTTCAGTAGTGATCATCAACTGCCCCTGGACTGGACCCGATCGATACCCTTCGAACTCCAGAGGCTTCAAATTGGCTTGAGCTGCGTAACTTGCTGTTGTAACTCCAGTGGGACATGACCCAATTATCACCACATTCTCGATTGCATTTGTGGCTCGATTGCATTTTATGCACAAAAACAACACAAACAAACCAACCATCTTCATCAATTTGTACAACGATTAAAACCCACTAACTAAAACAACCACAAGAATACTGTGCAAATTGAAGTTCCACTTCAAAGTTCAAAAACATACAATCATATACTGAGAGGGAGAGAGAGAGGGAGGACCTTGAGAGGTAGGAGGAGACTGGGAGGAAACTCGGAGAGGGAGAGTGAGGGCGAGAGCGTGGAGAGGGAGAGGGAGAGGAGGGGGCATTTGTCATTAGATATCATTTTACAAAGAGGTAAATTTATCTTTAAAATTTTATGGGTTTTTATCACAAATGGTCTCTGAGGTTTGCTAAATTATCACATTTGGTCCTTTATGTTTTTTTCTAACATTTTTGGTCCCTTATGTTACACCTCACACATCAATTTGGTCTTTCCGTCAGGTTCCATCCAAATTTTCTGTTAGATTGCTGACGTGGACGCCACATGGATTAAATAATATTTTAAAACATTTTGGGTTTTATCACAAATGGTCCCTGAGATTTGCGAAATTATCACCCGTCATTTATATATTTTTTTAAATAGTTTAACATTTAAAATCTTTTAGAAAAAATTTAATAAAAAAAGAGAAAATTTTCAAAACATAATTTGTTTTTTATTCAAATCCACTTGTCATGTTACTATTGGACATGTAGCATATACACGCCACACATCCAAATACCCATGGTGTGAGCATCTAGACAAAGGGCAGGGGCCTGTGTTGAGCGAGCACTTGGACCGAAGTACGGAAGTCCAAGACACGAGAAGGCATATGGTTGAGCAAATAAACAATCGTGACAACGGCATCATCCCAATTGTGGCAAGGAGCATAGGACTCAATCAGAAGTGCTTGGCCTGTTTCAAGGAGATGTCAATTTTTTCGTTATGCAACACCATTATGTTGCGGTGTCTGGAGACAAGTGGTCTCATAGATAATGCCATGTGTCTTAAAGTAAGTCTGAAAGTCATAGTTGACATATTTTCCACCATTGTCAGAGACAAAAATCTGGGCCTTGGCAGATAATTGAGTTTCAATATGTTTGTGGAAAGACTGAAACATAGTAAACACTTCATTTTCAGTCTTCATCATGGAGAGCCATGTCATACGAGTATAATCATCCACAAACGTTACAAACCATTGGAACCCAAAATGAGCAGTTATAAGTGAGGGTCCACAGACATTATAGTGAATTAACGTAAATGGAGCAGTACGCTTACTCGTACTCAAAGGATAGGGCACACGATGACTCTTGGCTAAAATACAAGTATCACATTTGAAATCGGAGTCCTTGAAATCTAATAATAAATCTGGTAGAATATGCTTCATATAACTAAAGGATGGATATCTGTAAGGATTATATTTTGGCTCTCCTCTTATGATAAAACTAGTGTATTTTGCTGAGGTATATGTATTGGTTTAAGTTTGTTTGAATGTACATGCTAGATTCAAAAGTGTCATCTTTGCAATTCAAAAATCATTGCATACATTCACATGGATTAATACACAGGATTGATATAAGCCTTAAAATTCATTTTCTGTTTCATTATGTATCAATCCTTCCCAATCTGTTTTAATCCATCATTCACTTTGCATTCATACACATGGATTGATACATGCTTTAAAAACGTGTTTTGCTTTATTCTATATCAATCCTTGATATTCTGTTTCAATCCACTTTGAGCTGTATCAATTAATATTTTATTAAAAATATCTTCAACTTTTGATTTCATTCGATGAAGACTTCAAATATCTTCTGATCAATTTAAACTTCTTGAAACTTGTTTTCAAAAGTAAGAGTCTTGGATGAAGTTACCTCATGTTGATGTGACCACAACATATTATTATAATATATTCTTTCTTTCTTGAAACTAGTTTTCTCCAAAGAAAGCTTTATATTATCTTGCACATGGGCTACTTCTTTTATTGCTTGTGGAGTCAATGCTCCATGCTTTCAACCAACTCCTTCTATTCTCTCTTTTAGTTTTTTTTTAATACAACATATTATTATATAATATGTTCTTTCTTGAAACTAGTTTTCTCAAAAGGAGTATTTATTTTCTCTTTTATGCACATGTCATCTTTCTCCACTCTTGCACATGTGTTCTGACAAAGCATGGGTTCTTTCTCTTCAATGGTTGTAGCTCATGGCATGGCTATTTCCAATAGCATGTTATCCTCTTCATGAACGTATATGCAGATTGCATTTTTTATTTCTTGTGGAGTCAATGCTCCATGCTTTCAACCAACTCCTTCTATTCTCTCTTTTAGTTTTTTTTTTAATACAACATATTATTATATAATATGTTCTTTCTTGAAACTAGTTTTCTCAAAAGGAGTATTTATTTTCTCTTTTATGCACATGTCATCTTTCTCCACTCTTGCACATGTGTTCTGACAAAGCATGGGTTCTTTCTCTTCAATGGTTGTAGCTCATGGCATGGCTATTTCCAATAGCATGTTATCCTCTTCATGAACGTATATGCAGATTGCATATACTTTATTATTTCTTCTATTTGATCAGAGCATCTTGATTGACTGTTGGTATTCCTATTTGGAACTTGTTTTCATCTTTAAAATACTCTCTTCATTCGAATCAAGAGTTTGTTGCTGTCTTGCCCTTTCAGATATTTTAGCCACCAAACAACATTCTTTATATTATATGTGGTTCAAAATATCCCCTCTTCATTCGAATCAAGTCTCTATATATACTAAGCTAGACCTAAGGAAGAGGTTGAGAAGTTCATTTGAACTTGCTTCATTTTTATCAGTTCTTTGAAGAAGAACCATTCATGCTAGACATGTAAAAATAGAAAATCTGCATCTTTGATGCAGACCCGGTTCTATGTTTTTGAAATCATTCTATATTTGCTCTTGAGCATTCAAAAACTATTTTATTGTTTCAGCCATTGTTAATTACTTGAGAGTATGAGTATGATTGCATACACATAAAATTCCTCCAAGTATGAGTCTTTTGTTTCATTGTTGTTATGATTGACTTAAACTATATGCTTCAAGTTCATTACTTCTAGTTTAATCATCACAACACTTGGTTTCATTTGTCTAGCTTAATCATTCTTTGTGATTAAGAAAGATGAAAATCTGAAACCATTTTTGAAATCATTTTATATCTGATGTTGAGCATTCAAAAACTATTTTATTGTTTCAGCCATTGTTAATTACTTGAGAGTATGAGTATGATTGCATACACATAAAAATCCTCCAAGTATATTCACATTGGTTTCGGCTAAGTCTGTTCTTTCATTATTGTTATGTTGATTTAAACTATATGCTTCAAGTATGAACTTCTAATTTAATCATCACAACACTTGGTTTCATTTGTCTAGCTTAATCATTCTTTGTGATTAAGAAAGATGAAAATCTGAAACCACAACTCACTTCATATCATTATACTTTTTGCAACTTGGAGCTTGGTGTTGTTGCAAACCATGAAGATTTGTCTGTTAAAATTGGAGCTGAATGCTCATGCAAAGACTGGAAGAGAACTTGTTGCTGAGACGTAAAGATTGTGCTTTTCTGGAAGGTTAGATAGTTAGCTGCCTATTGTGTGTCGATGAGCTAATATTGTGCTTTGCTAGAAGGTTAGATAGTTAGCTGCCTACTGAGTGTAGATGGAGCTCAACTCCCTTTGTATCTTGTACTTCTCGTTGATAGTGGATTCTCTTACTGGCTTGGTCCCCCAATTTTCCCCCTTGTTGGGTTTTTGGGTTAACAAATCTTTGTGTATGTTTATATTCATGTTGTCAATAGTTGTACTTACTGCATCATGTTCAAATGACATCAGTACACTAACGTGTATTGATCCAAAATCTCAAAGGGTTTCTATTTGTATTAATACGTGGTGTCGTTTGTATCAATCCAGTTTCATGCAGTCAGTTCTATTTACTCACTGCAGATGCTAAGTAATTAAACACCATGGTTGTGCATGTGTTTATGTTTCCGCTTATTAATTCTTAGCTGGGCTTAAATTTGAAAAAGATAGGTTATTACCATATAGCCTACTTCACCCCCCCTCCCCCCTCTTTTATGTAGGCTTTTAGAGCCTAGGGCATGTTTTACAATGTCCCAATCGATGGTGCCACAACCAGATTTTCATTTGCTTGCTATCATAGGGATGCGTCACACTGTTAGCCATGTCAGTACTGAAGTAATCCACATAATAGAGCCCCCCTCTCTTAGTACCAGGACCAATAATCTCCTTAGTGTGAATATCTTTAAGCAAACAAAAATTCGGGTAAATTAGTGTCTGCCGCGCAAATCTCACGGCCTGGAGTTCCGGGCCGAGGGGATATGCGTTGACACGCGGTTTCCTGCTTTTGGG